ATTAGGAATTTCCTTCCTAAAAGTGACGCGGAAAAACTCATTCACGCGTTTGTCACCTCAAGGCTCGACTACTGTAACGCTTTACTGGCAGCGTGCCCTAAAGCCTCTTTGAAGAGCTTCCAGCTCGTTCAGAATACAGCAGCTAGGATCTTAACAGGTACCAAAAGGAGGGAGCACATAACTCCGGTGTTAAAATCACTCCACTGGCTCCCTGTGGAGTACAGAATAAAGTTTAAAATCCTACTCTTAACATATAAAGCCATAAATGGCTTGGCTCCTTCTTATCTCCAAGACACGTTAGTGTCGCATCAACCAAGTCGAGCGTTGCGCTCACAAAACGCCAGACGTCTGGTGGTCCCTAAGGTCTCAAAGGTCACTGTTGGTGGCAGAGCATTTAGCTACCAAGCTCCTTTACTGTGGAATCAGCTTCCCATTTATGTTAAGGAAGCAGATACGGTCTCCACATTCAAGGCCAGGCTTAAAGCACTTTACTTTAATTTAGCATATAATTAGGTAATATATAATATGTAGTGTATATATTATATATATATGCTGTATTATGTTATATATTATGTTATATATTATTCAATAATGTATTGTGTTATGTTGTATATTATGTTATATATTATGCTGTATGTTATTCTTTATTCAAGGCTAGGTTTAAAACAGTCCTCTTTAGTTTAGCATATGGCTAGGAAGGTAAGACTCGGAGAAGGTTAAACTCCTCAGAGTGTCAGTCAAGCTGCATAGGGAGTCAGTTTGCTGGGAGAAGTATGGTAACTTGAGCACTATCCTCTCCTCCTTCCTACTTTATCTGTTTAGCATTTTTAGGATTCTGACTGTAGTTTGTTCATTGCTATTCACCCGTTGTCCCATTGTCTGTTTCATGGTACGATGACGGGATCTCTGAGCCTGGCCTCTTCCATCTACACCTGCGGACTGCCCCGCCCGACCCGCCTGGGAGTGCTTCAGTCCTGCACCGGACCTGTCCACGTTCAGCGTCCACTGGTCCACGTTCTGTAGCTAGCTTAGGTCCTGGATCATTAGTCTGTCCGTCCGGAGGAGCGGATCCCTTTCTCATATGGGTCTCCCTCCCTGTGGGTTTCCCTAGTTCTCCTCCAAGGTTTCTCACTTTTTCCCACTGGGTTTTTTAAGAGTTGTTCCTTGTGGATGCAGGAGGGTCTTGTTGGACAGTTAGTGTCCAACAGAAAGGATTGGTGATGATCAGGACACTTTAGCATTCTACAACATGTATGGACATTTTCTTCTGTGTGTGCTTTATATTCTTCATGTGTTTTAACTGTTGATTCTCTGACCTGTGTTGGTGATTTCAATGGTTTTGTTAAGTCCTCTGAGATGACTTCTGTTGTGACCTAGGGCTATACAAGAATAAATTGTATTGTATCGTATTGTATTGTATTTCGCACTTCTGTTCCCGAGATCTACAAGCCCCTCCCACTCTGCGGCTCTAGGCTCTAACAGAAACAATGTGTAATGTTGTGTGTGTGCTGTGGGTCATTATTGTCCTTATCTCTCTCATACTATTCTCTCTCTCTCTCTCTCAGATACATTCACACCAAACTCTGTTTTCTACATCACAATCGAGCAATGCATATTTCCAAAGTTATGAAGCCTCCGGTCGTCTGACTAAAACATTATATTTACTAAATTGATTGTGGGATTTGGTGACAATTTACATTCAAATACATTATAGACAGACAACTTCTGTCAGAGTACTATTATACTACAAGGGATTTTTACCATTTTATTTCTTATTTTTACACACAGACCACAGATTTAGTCCGTGGTCATCAGTCCCTCAGACCACCACCAACCATTCACAAACAAAGTATCTTGCCTAAGGACACAACGGCAGTTTGGCACAGCCTTGTCGCCCTCTCTACCCAAAGGTAAAGGTGCACTTTATTGATCCCCGTAGGGCAATTCCTCCTCTGCATTTGACCCTGATGCCCTAAGGCTTACGTCAGAGCAGTGGTTGCCGTAGTAACAGCGCCCAGGAACCCATCTCCAGATGTTGATGCTCAGCTTGGTCAGGACCAGAGCTGGAGGATTTAACCTAGTGAGAATGTTTTTAGTGGTAGGGGAAACCGGATTACCCGGAGGCACTGGGAGAACATTCAAACTCCACTCAGAAAGGCCCGGTTACAACTGGGATTCGAACCCAGGGCCTTCTTGCTGAGAAGCGAGAGTGCTAACCACTCAGCCACCTTTTTGGTGGCACATCATTTGAATTAGGTCCTGGCCTCTCATTGGCTCTGGAGTGATGAGTGACGTCAGTTGGTGTGTGTGACATCACTCTGAGCCTGTGGTATAAATCCATCCAAGTCCATCCATCTGAGTATTCTGGCAACATCAGTTGAAGCCACTGCTGCTGAGATAATTCTGTGTCTTAGGTCCAGGTTTGTAGCTCTACAATTATCTTAGTCTCATTCCTTTGTTTACACACTTTCTGGTGTAAACTGTTGCTTTAAGCAGCAAAGACAACTGTCTGTTTTTTTGTGTGACGTGAGCTGTCAATCAAAGCCCAGACCACGCCCACCTCTAAGCCCGCCCTTCTTGTCCACTGGCATTGCCCTTTTTAGAGTAAAAGTTAAACTGTTGATGTGGGCGGAGTCCGGCTGGGCACCGGTGTTTAGTGGCTGTTTAAAAATACACTTCCAGGAGAACAGAGAATATGAAACGGTGAGCTCCCGGTTCAGCAGCGAGATCAACGACCACTTTACTGATGTAGAGGCTTTCAGATGATGTCCCATATTTTACACCTGTGGAACTCACAGCCATCAACACATGCAGTAATGTTTTTGTCTGAGCTCACAGTGAGTTCTTTTGCTTATCAGATGGAAGTGTGTTTTGATTGTATAGAAATAAGCAACAACACACCGCTGCATGCTGCGTTCCCACGGCAACGAAGCACAAATAAAATCCTCTGTGAAGAATGGCAGCTCGGAACAGCTGCCTTCACACACACATCCTACATTAACACACACACACATTAACACACACACACATCCTACACACACTCACATTAACACACACACACACATCCTACACACACTCACATCCTACGTTAACACACACTCTGATCCTACGTTAACACACACTCTGATCCTACGTTAACACACACTCTGATCCTACGTTAACACACACTCTGATCCTACGTTAACACACACTCTGATCCTACATTAACACACACTCTGATCCTACGTTAACACACTCTGATCTTACGTTAACACACTCTGATCCTACGTTAACACACACTCTGATCCTACGTTAACACACACTCTGATCCTACGTTAACACACACTCTGATCCTACGTTAACACACACTCTGATCCTACGTTAACACACACTCTGATCCTACATTAACACACACTCACATCCTACATTAACACACACTCTGATCCTACATTAACACACACTCACATCCTACATTAACACACACTCTGATCCTACATTAACACACACTCACATCCTACACACACTCACACATGGATTACTTCACAATACAATACAATAGAATGTATTCTTGTATTGCCCTAGGTCACAACAGAAGTCATCTCAGAGACTTAACAAAACCATTGAAATCACCAACACAGGTCAGAGATCTATTAGATATAGAGGTTTCATGCACAATAGAGTTTGGACAGGTGAGAGCTGGTTCTTGTCAGTGTGTGTGTGTGTGTGACAGAGTGACCCATGGGGCATGAGAATCCTCTACATTGGAGGCCCACGTCAGGGCCACTGTATGATGACAAATCTCCCTCAAAATGAGACTTCGGTGCAACACATTAGTCCGGACCCGTGTGGGCCGGAGCGGGTCCCACCTGCCTCCTCCGTTACCCACTTAAGAGAATGACACTTCCCACCAACGGAATCGCAATACACAGTAGGAAGACTCAAAACACAAGTTTAATCATTATGTCTATTTCATTGTAAATACCTGGTTTAATTTCCGGGAGATGACTTAAAGAATGTAAAAGAAGACATAATGTGATTTATTTATTTATTTTTTATTATTTATTTTTAGGTTTGATCCATATGACAAAATGTTTCCCTCATGAAAATAGACCTGAAGTTGTTTCTAGATCCATCCGTGCTAATATCAACAACTTCTGGCACAAACTCGGCCTTCTCCAAAAGTCCTGTAGTAGTGTGATGTCATTGTAGATTCTGATGTCATTGTAGATTATGACATCACACCTCGAGCACACCTTAGATTTGCTCTTTTTTCAGGTGTACGTTCTTTATAATCACACATCTATGTTTGCAGTTGGTCATTTTTGAATTTGGAAAAAGAAAAGCTTGACATCTCCCTCTGGTGGTAGAATCGGGAGTTACAGGAGGAAAGCATTATTCACCGTTTATACTTGTTCATGACATCATTTTAAGATTCTAAAACAAGCATTTCTTTACATTCGCTCAAAGGGTCTTTGGAGGAAGAGACGGACATGTATGAGTCAGGTCTGTGGGGGGGCAAGCTCACTCAGAGTAAGGAGACTGGGACTACAGGTGTAAATGAGCATTAATATTATAACCTCCCATGACTTTGTCTTGGATATATTTAGTTCTGCACTGTGTCCCTGTTCTATCACGTTTTTATGCTCATTCTAATGACATTTCAAGCTAAAAACAAGTTATATTTTTCATTTCAGAGTTGCAAAAGTTCTGTTCTGATAATGTTGTTATTGCAATGCTTATATTGTGTAGTCTTTCACCAAAACAAAACATTGCATTTGACGCTGTGGTAAAGGTCAGCTCTGAAGAGTATAATTCATGAAATACACTCACTATACTGTCTGCAAACTGTTGCAAACACACAATATTTCAATAATCCAAAGCCTTGAACATGAACTCATTTCTGCACATAAAGCCCACAGTCTACTCTACGCTCTGTCATCGCACTGAGACGACACAGGGCGCTGTGAAATCAATGTTTCTGAATGCTTTGAAAGAACATCTTCAAAGCCACAGTCCGGGACATGAGGAGGCTGTCAATCACTGCTCCGTCACTGCAGTCACTGCACCGTCACCGCTCCGTCACTGCACCGTCACTGCACCGTCACTGCACCGTCACCGCTCCGTCACCGCACCGTCACTGCACAGTCACTGCACCGTCACTGCACAGTCACTGCACCGTCACTGCACAGTCACTGCACCGTCACTGCACCGTCACTGCACAGTCACTGCGCAGTCACTGCACCGTCACTGCACAGTCTCTGCAGTCACTGCACCGTCACTGCGCAGTCACTGCACCGTCACTGCGCAGTCACTGCACCGTCACTGCACCGTCACTGCACAGTCACTGCACCGTCACTGCACCGTCACTGCACAGTCTCTGCAGTCACTGCGCAGTCACTGCACCGTCACTGCTCCGTCACTGCACAGTCACTGCAGTCACTGCACCGTCACCGCTCCGTCACTGCACCGTCACTGCACAGTCACTGCACAGTCACTGCAGTCACTGCGCAGTCACTGCACCGTCACTGCACCGTCACTGCACAGTCACTGCACCGTCACCGCTCCGTCACGCACCGTCACTGCACGTCATGCAGCACTGCACAGTCACTGCACAGTCACTGCAGTCACTGCACTCACTGCACAGTCCTCTGCAGTCACTGCACCGTCACTGCGCACAGTCACTGCACCGTCACTGCGCAGTCACACTGCGCAGTGACGCAGTCACTGCACGTGACTGCAGTCACTGCGCAGTCACTGCACCGTCACTGCACCGTCACTCGTCACTGCACAGTCACTGCACAGTCACTGCACCGTCACCGCTCCGTCACTGCACCGTCACTGCACAGTCACTGCACAGTCACTGCAGTCACTGCACAGTCACTGCACCGTCACCGCTCCGTCACTGCGCAGTCACTGCACCGTCACTGCACCGTCACTGCGCAGTCTCTGCACCGTCACTGCACAGTCACTGCTCCGTCACTGCGCAGTCACTGCACCGTCACTGCACCGTCACTGCGCAGTCTCTGCAGTCACTGCGCAGTCACTGCACCGTCACTGCTCCGTCACTGCACAGTCACTGCAGTCACTGCACAGTCACTGCACCGTCACTGCACAGTCACTGCACAGTCACTGCACCGTCACCGCTCCGTCACTGCACAGTCACTGCACCGTCAACAAGCACAGATACATACTTCCTTCAGTAAAGCGTCTTCTAGCAATTTGATTAATATGTATGTTTTCACCTGTGTACAGTATTGTATGTATTAAAATATACTAATCAAGGCGACAGTAACATCAATGAGCTTAAATAACCTGCTTCTAGTGTTTCCACAACCAACAGATTGGATTTAAAGTCAATCTATAAATATTCTATAGTAATCATTAATACATAGGTAAGTATTTTATAGTAATTATTAGTATATAGGTAAGTATTTTATAGTAATTATTAATACATCTATAAATATTCTATAGTAATTATTAACATTATTGTCATTCTGCTTTTTACCACTTAAATCTTTCTTTTAACGGTATTAGTCTTCATTTAGAAGAAAAAGTATGATTTATTCTTTGGTATAATGAGGCAGTTGGAGGTCTCTTGTAGCCACAGCTCTATTCTATAATCTACATCCATTAGCCCAGGAAGTGACTTCAGAGCCAGGGTTACATGCTCCCTCTGTTTAGTTCTTGTCCATAATCCTTCTGCTGCATTTTGTTGGAGCTCACAGCTTTGAACGGAGGAAGAGCATCGGAACGGTGCCTTTTAAATCTGAAAACAACACAATGCAGCCGTCATATATCATTTCTAAGAACGGTGTGGAGTGGATCCTCTTAGTTAGCAGAAAAGCACTCACGACAATAGCTCCTGCTTCGGAGTGTGAGGTCAGTGCCTTCTCCATCTCTGGCTGAGAAAAGATGTTTACAAAAGGTTACCACAAACTAAACGTTACCATCAAAGTGAAGCCTTCTGTGCATGAGGCCGATCCGCTCTGATTACAGCCTCCTCGTGTTTTAGCTTGTTTAGAAATGAATAAGTGCACGGACACGCTGTGGAGAGAAGACCTACATGGAGCTGTTTTTACATCTGCAAACTGCTGCTCATCCGTCATCTGCAAGTGTGAAAGTGTGTCCCAAATTATCTACTCCACCACAGAGCTCTCAGAGGAACTCAGGAAGAAGACATTACTTACTTACTTAATAACAAAGGGAGAATATGACTCCTACGGCTCACTATTTTAATATAGATAGATACAGTAGATACATTGATAGATTCATAGATATATAGATGGATGGATAGATAGGCTCAGTGTTGTAGACTTGGCTGAACATTTTTAACTTTGAATGATTGTTTTTATGTTTAGAGTTCAATGTTAATGTTAATATAAAGTGTGTGTGTATAAAAGTGTATGATGTCCCTCGGCTTCAGGAAAGGAACTAGGTTTTGACTGTAGATGTCATAATGTCATGATTTATTATTCAATTATTGTAGAATTCACTTCTCACTGATTAGGCTGAAAATGGCTCTTTGAATGGTTTGTTTGCAGACACAGATAAACAAATGTCCAGAGCTGGTTCATGATGAAGCCTCACAAAGCCACACGCAGGGATTTGTAGAACGGCAGATGCTGTTTATTTCCATCACTAATCTTTGTGTTTTATATTTTAGCTCAAGCATAATCAACAGCGCCTTAAACGATATTTCAAACATTTCATGATTTCAACCGTCTCCTCAGTCGCTCACAACAGACTCGTCCAAATGGGAAATGTAATAACTGATGCTAGATGATTATACAAGCTGTATTTTTGTGGAATAGTTACAAATTCTGCTGTCAAAAGAACAAAAACAAAGGAGGATTGTTGCCCATCCATTAACTCTAACGTTTGCATCGCCTTAAATCTGCCAAATGCTCAGTAATATTGTTTACTGGGGAAAGGGGAAATTTGTCTCTTTTTACAAGAATCTCCACAGAAACATGCGACAAGAGTCTACTTCAAACACAGAAGCAAAGAACAGTCTGAGTGAAATGTAAACTCTATGGGAACTGTATAAACAGATGCATTAGGAGTAACAAAACCTCACACTGTCGATCTGAATCAGGGCAGTGGTCCAACATCAGAAAATACATTTAATAGTAACGTTTTTATGGCTCTGTCCATTATATTTAAAATGGCTTCTTTCACCCCTCCCTCAAACCAATTTTGTCTTGACCCTAACCCTAACCCTTCACGGTGTGGTTCACGGTGTGGTTGATGGTGTGGTTGATGGTGTGGTTCACGGTGTGGTTGATGGTGTGGTTGATGGTGTGGTTCACGGTGTCGTTCACGGTGTGGTTCACGGTGTGGTTGACCGTGTGGTTGATGGTGTGGTTCACGGTGTGGTTCACGGTGTGGTTCACAGTGTGGTTCACGGTGTGGTTCACGGTGTTGTTCACGGTGTGGTTCACGGTGTGGTTCACGGTGTGGTTGATGGTGTCGTTCACGGTGTGGTTCACGGTGTGGTTGATGGTGTCGTTCACGGTGTGGTTCACGGTGTGGTTGATGGTGTCGTTCACGGTGTGGTTCACGGTGTGGTTGATGGTGTCGTTCACGGTGTGGTTCACGGTGTGGTTGATGGTGTCGTTCACGGTGTGGTTCACGGTGTGGTTGATGGTGTGGTTCACGGTGACGTTCACGGTGTGGTTCACGGTGTCATTCACGGTGTAGTTCACGGTGACGTTCACGGTGTGGTTGATGGTGTCGTTCACGGTGACGTTCACGGTGTGGTTGATGGTGTTGTTCACGGTGACGTTCACGGTGTGGTTCACGGTGACGTTCACGGTGTGGTTTACGGTGACGTTTACGGTGACGTTCACGGTGACGTTTACGGTGACGTTCACGGTGTCGTTCACGGTGACGTTCACGGTGACGTTCACGGTGTGGTTGATGGTGTCGTTCACGGTGACGTTCACGGTGTGGTTCACTGTGACGTTTACGGTGTCGTTCACGGTGTCGTTCACGGTGACGTTCACGGTGACGTTCACGGTGTGGTTGATGGTGTCGTTCACGGTGTCGTTCACGGTGACGTTCACGGTGACGTTCACGGTGTGGTTGATGGTGTCGTTCACGGTGTGGTTGATGGTGTCGTTCACGGTGTGGTTGATGGTGTCGTTCACGGTGTGGTTGATGGTGTCGTTCACGGTGACGTTCACGGTGTGGTTGATGGTGTGGTTCACGGTGAAGTTCACGATGTGGTTCACAGTGTCGTTCACGGTGTGGTTGGTGGCCTTGAGATTTTATTTTGTATTAAAATTAATCTGATTGAATATAATTTTTTGCAGTTTTGGGGTAGTTTATTTTTGTTTCATGGCTCTGATGATTTAGAGCACTTTCATTGAAATCGTATCTGTAGCTTCATTAACCACAGGTGTCTCAGAGGAGAGCTCATGGGATTTCTCCAGAGACCAGTTGGTGGGGGCGTGGTCTGCGTCTGGAAGACTGACCCAAATGCATGAGGCTGGAACATCAGGTACATTGTTTACCTCAGCCACAAAATTATGATATTTCCAGTTTTGTTTTTAAATTAGAAAGTTAACTCAAATGTTAAGGGTGGATTTTCACTCAAAACATCAGTTGTTAATAGAACAAACTCATTAGAATAAAAGCGTTTTGAATGTTGTTACATGAGAGAGAGAGACATAGAGAGAGAGAGACATAGAGAGAGAGAGACATAGAGAGAGAGAGACATAGAGAGAGAGAGACATAGAGAGAGAGAGACATAGAGAGACATAGAGAGAGGCATGTGACGTAGTGGGCTCACAGCCTCTCACTCTGGTTTGCGTCTCCCCCTCTCCTCCTCTCTCCTCTGTGCCTCGCTCTCCTCCTCTCTCTCCTCTGTGCCTCCCTCTCCTCCTCTCTCTCCTCTGTGCCTCCCTCTCCTCCTCTCTCTCCTCTGTGCCTCGCTCTCCTCCTCTCTCTCCTCTGTGCCTTGCTCTCCTCCTCTCTCTCCTCTCTGTGCCTCCCTCTCCTCCTCTCTCTCCTCTGTGCCTCCCTCTCCTCCTCTCTCTCCTCTGTGCCTCCCTCTCCTCCTCTCTCTCCTCTGTGCCTCGCTCTCCTCCTCTCTCTCCTCTGTGCCTCGCTCTCCTCCTCTCTCTCCTCTGTGCCTCGCTCTCCTCCTCTCTCTCCTCTGTGCCTCGCTCTCCTCCTCTCTCTCCTCTGTGCCTCGCTCTCCTCCTCTCTCTCCTCTGTGCCTCCCTCTCCTCCTCTCTCTCCTCTGTGCCTCCCTCTCCTCCTCTCTCCTCTGTGCCTCGCTCTCCTCCTCTCTCTCCTCTCTGTGCCTCCCTCTCCTCCTCTCTCTCCTCTGTGCCTCCCTCTCCTCCTCTCTCTCCTCTGTGCCTCCCTCTCCTCCTCTCTCTCCTCTGTGCCTCGCTCTCCTCCTCTCTCTCCTCTGTGTGCCTCGCTCTCCTCCTCTCTCTCCTCTCTCTGTGCCTCGCTCTCCTCCTCTCTCTCCTCTGTGCCTCGCTCTCCTCCTCTCTCTGTGCCCGTCTGTGCCTCGCTCTCCTCCTCTCTCTCTCCTCTGTGCCTCGCTCTCCTCCTCTCTCTCCTCTGTGCCTCGCTCTCCTCCTCTCTCTCCTCTGTGCCTCGCTCTCCTCCTCTCTCTCCTCTGTGCCTCCCTCTCCTCCTCTCTCTCCTCTGCCTCGCTCTCCTCTCTCTCCCTCTGTCTCTCTCCTCTGTGCCTCGCTCTCCTCCTCTCTCTCCTCTGTGCCTCGCTCTCCTCTCTCTCTCTCTCTCTGTGCCTCGCTCTCCTCCTCTCTCTCCTCTGTGCCTCGCTCTCCTCCTCTCTCTCCTCTGTGCCTCGCTCTCCTCCTCTCTCTCCTCTGTGCCTCGCTCTCCTCCTCTCTCTCCTCTGTGCCTTGCTCTCCTCCTCTCTCTCCTCTGTGCCTCGCTCTCCTCCTCTCTCTCCTCTGTGCCTCGCTCTCCTCCTCTCTCTCCTCTCTTTGCCTCGCTCTAATCCTCTCTCTCCTCTGTGCCTCGCTCTCCTCCTCTCTCTCCTCTGTGCCTCGCTCTCCTCCTCTCTCTCCTCTGTGCCTCGCTCTCCTCCTCTCTCTCCTCTGTGCCTCGCTCTCCTCCTCTCTCTCCTCTGTGCCTCGCTCTCCTCCTCTCTCTCCTCTGTGCCTCGCTCTCCTCCTCTCTCTCCTCTGTGCCTCGCTCTCCTCCTCTCTCTCCTCTCTTTGCCTCGCTCTAATCCTCTCTCTCCTGGTTCCCTCCGCGGTGGAGGAGGAAGCTGCGCCTGTGTGTGTGTCTGCTGTTTGGATATTTCACTGACAGCGGCTGAAGATGGAGCTGCTGCTGTGCGTGTGCAGCCTGTTTAGCGTGTTTAGCGTGTGCAGCGTGTTTAGCGTGTGCACCCTGCGCGTTGTGAGTGGAGCGTCCGCCGCCAACAACTGTAAGTTTCTCCCCTTTCGCCCTGTGCCTTCAGCTCACCTGCAGCCCTCTGTCTCACGGGTGGGCTCCGGGTTTGTTGTTGCAGTCAGGCTTTAGGGAATCGCCACTTTTATTGAAGCCATTGGGTTTTCTTGCACTCAGCGTGTGTTTCCGGAGTGATGCAGGTTATTAAAGCTTTTCTTCAGAACGCCTTGAAGTCAGGAGGACACTGCTGTGTGCTGCAGAAAGTGCTGAGTGAAAGTGCTCAGTCCTGTAGTCTGACTGAAGTGTGTGTGATGACTTTGTGCTGCTGCTATAATGGGACAGCTGAGTCGAGATGACAACATTACAGAGAACGTCAGACACACACTTTTCACATTCATTATAATTTGACATTCAGTTCAGACTTTAGTCATTGCATTTTGATGTTTTTTCTCTTCATAGAGTGTGCAGTTTTCAAGAGCCCTAGATATGCTGTGTGTAAGATCCACGTGGTATTCTGTCTTAGTGATATCTGAGTTTAGGTCACCCTCTTCATATTTCAACAGTTTTATGTGGCCAAGAACACACATTGGAGGATTGACAGAATTGCCCACAGAGTCTTTAAAGCTTTTAGTTTCAGTGGCATTATGGGGACACTGTCTGGCTGTGCTCTTGGAATGTGACCACAGACCTGTACATACAGTAAGTGTGTGATGTTATGGGAGAAAGCCCCTAAAGTGACAGGTGCATTACTCATGTACGGCAGCAGAGTGTTTCCAAATGTCCACAGTGATGCGGTCAGATGAGCTGCTGAGGCTGTGGAGGTCGGACGATTGCTCCGAGTTACCATTAAAGACCGACCCTGACAATGTATGACAGGGACACCAGCACAACACACCACTTAGAGCTACTGCATCATTTAAGATGCTGTAACTTTAGTATAAATAAAGTCAAAATGAGATGAAAGATGAAATCCAGCTGATTTCTAAAATACACTCAGAATACAGTTGAATTTATCTTGTTTCCTGTCGGTACATACCTCTATAAGGAACTTTATTCTCGATTCATGTCTATTTACATTCACAACTATACTTACCGGGATCTTCCTTCTTATAGTGTAATTGTGTCGTTTCAAGATCTTTAAAGTATCTATTAGTATCATCACCATCAACATTTGTCAACCATTTTTCATTTTTTACGAATTTAGTTTTATTTAGTGCTTACCAATACCATGAGACTATGATCATGTTTAAAAGCCACAATAACATTACAGTGACAGCGAACACAACAGTATAGAAATGACCAAAGGATCAAAACGATGCTCAGTTGTTGCAGTTTAAAGTCTTTAATTCCACTTTTACCTCGGTTTTAGATCAACGCAATTATTTGGCCCATAATTACTCAACAAATCTCCACAGCTGAAAAACATCTGTTATTGTTTATTATTGTTTATTTTTTTTTGTTCTTGCGATTAAATGAAAATACATTCAATAATTGACTTTTATGAATAATTATTGCCCCATGCTGTTGATTTGCCGGGATTTAAAATAGTTTCAATAATATCAATCACCATGTTATATCAGTAGAAAACAGATAAATTTAGAATGTGTAAGGGGGAGGAGCCAGTGTAGTGGAAGGAGTCGTGTAGAGGGAGGAGCCGGTGTAGAGGGAGGAGCCAGTGTAGAGGGAGGAGCCAGTGTAGAGGGAGGAGCTAGTGTAGAGGGGGAGGAGCCAGTGTAGTGGAAGGAGTCGTGTAGAGGGAGGAGCCGGTGTAGAGGGAGGAGCCAGTGTAGAGGGAGGAGCCAGTGTAGAGGAGGAGGAGCCAGTACGGCAGCCTGACGTCTCTTTTGTCTTCCAGTATGAATTTGCGTTTAAGCTTCATGATTGTCGAAACCCAAACCCGGTCCTTCTCCTCAGGTACAGACCCACTGCTCTTGGTTTTCTGTGTGGTCTAAGCAGAGATTTTCTTTTATTGGACGTAAACAGAGAAATTACTCAAAGCAGCTGCTGCAGAAGAGCATTTCAGGCAAAGTGATCTGAGGAGAGGAGTCCAAGACATGTTTAAATGTCACGGCGAAATACTGCACACTCACACTTTCAATAGAGATGAAACTAGAAAAAAAGCTTTAAAAGTTGCGCACTATTGTTTGTGATAACCAGATGAGTGCTTTGGATTTAAAAAGTTGAATATTGAGATGTTTGTAGGGCTGGGCGATTAAACGATAAGGATATATATCACAATAGACACATGTTTGTTGTCAACAGAAAACAGGGTCGATAGAATGTTCCATAGTTTAATTTCACTCCGTTAGAAAAAACAGGCAGAAAACACTGGAAGTAATGCGGAGTCAGAAGCAGGCATTCTGGGGGATGTAGGTAGAGGCTTCTTGACCTATCACGGCCGAGCATGAACTGCAAGGCATTCTGGGAAAATGCAAAAACAAATTTGCATTCGTGGATCTAAAGTTGTCATGTGTCGATGCCGTGTCAATGGTTTAGTCCGTGTGAGGAACAGCATGTGCGGCAGAGACACTGGACACAGAAACTCAAGCGGCAAAAGCAGGAGATTCACTTTTTCCTCTAGAACCACATGCGGCTATCGGAGAGCTAAACCAGGACTAAACAGCATTAAACCAGGACTAAACCAGCCTTAAACCTGGACTAAACCAGCCTTAAACCTGGACTAAACCAGCCTTAAACCAGGACTAAACCAGGACTAAACCAGGACTAAACCAGGATTTGCAATGGGGGACTCTCTGCTTGTGAACATATTCCTCCAGCCTCATTCTCCTGTGACTAAACAAGAGCTGCTAACCTGTGTTAGCTGACACAACAAATGTATTTATTTAGGTTTAAAAAAAAAAATACAATATAACAAACAATATACTCATATATATATATATATATATAAATATAATCGCCCAGCCCTAACGTTTAGTAAGAGGGGCACTTTATTTGACCTGTGGCCAACATCACGGATTGTAAAACTGTTTTGACTGTTCTGAGCTTTTGATTCGCTAAGACGAAGCTAAAGTTGGCTGAATGACCATCCCACCATAACTACGTTAGCACCAGAGTTGTTAACATTTCATAGGAGCTTTGACATGGACGGGGTGACTACACAATACTTTTTACTAATATCTGTTCTGTATTATCACCAGCTTACACGCACGCATACAGCGCACACACAACACACACACGCATACAGTGCACACACAATACACACACGCATACAGCGCACACACAATACACACACGCATACAGCACACACACAACACACACACGCATACAGCACACACACAATACACACACGCATACAGCGCACACACACGCATACAGCGCACACACAACACACACACGCATACAGTGCACACACAATACACACACGCATACAGCGCACACACAACACACACACGCATACAGCGCACACACAACACACACACGCATACAGTGCACACACAATACACACACGCATACAGCACACACACAACACACACACGCATACAGCACACACACAATACACACACGCATACAGCGCACACACACGCATACAGCGCACACACAACACACACACGCATACAGTGCACACACAATACACACACGCATACAGCGCACACACAACACACACACGCATACAGCGCACACACAACACACACACGCATACAGTGCACACACAATACACACACGCATACAGCGCATACACAACACACACACGCATACAGCACACACACAATACACACATGCATACAGCGCACACACACACGCATACAGCGCACACACACGCATACAGCGCACACACACGCATACAGCGCACACACAACACACACACGCATACAGTGCACACACAATACACACACGCATACAGCGCACACACAACACACACACGCATACAGCACACACACAACACACACACGCATACAGTGCACACACAATACACACACGCATACAGCGCACACACAACACACACACGCATACAGCACACACACAACACACACACGCATACAGTGCACACACAATACACACACGCATACAGCGCACACACAACACACACACGCATACAGCACACACACAATACACACACGCATACAGCGCACACACACGCATACAGCGCACACACAACACACACACACGCATACAGCACACACACAATACACACACGCATACAGCACACACACAATACACACACGCATACAGCGCACACACAACACACACACGCATACAGCACACACACAATACAACACATGCATACAGCGCACACACACACGCATACAGCGCACACACAACACACACACGCATACAGCATACACACGCATACAGCATACACACGCATACAGCACACACACACACGCATACAGCGCACACACACATGCATACTGCACACACACACAACACACACACACAACACACACACGCATACAGCACACACACACAACACACACACGCATACAGCGCACACACAACACACACACGCATACAGCGCACACACAGCGCACACACGCATACAGCGCACACACACGCATACAGCGCACACGCAACACACACACGCATACAGCGCACATACACACGCACACACACAACACACACGCATACAGCACACACACACAACACACACACACAGCCCACGCATACGCACACACAGCACACATACTCTCACCTCATGTATGTCCTTTTTAAATATTTTTTGAATATTCTTTCGGTGGAGACTTTTTAAATGGCAGATTTAAAGTTTTGCAGTTTAAGTTCTCCCAAATCTATGAACAGTGGGTCAGAATGGTTTAATGTGGTTATTATTAATATGTAGAACAAATGTGTTCTATATGTTCTGTGTGTTAACTGTTGATTCTCTGATCTGTGGTGATTTCAATGGTTTTGTTAAGTCTCTGAGATGATGCTGATGTGATTTAGGGAAATACAAGAAGAAATGTTATTGTATTGTAAGTCTGGTTCATTTGGGGGGAAACAAGTATGAACTGATTTATACCAATAATGATTTTTGGACCCACGTGAACCAGAATTGATGAACTGAACCTAAATCTGTGCCGTTTTATGTTTATCTCTGCGGACTACATGAGATCTGCACCTACCGACATGCTCTTGTCTGCTTAATGTAGCGGCCACTTCACTGCACTCCCATGATCCTCCTCGTGCTCTCACAGAGGCATAAGTTGGGTTTGGCAGCGAGTGGAAGCTGTCATTATCAACTGAAATGACACTCTTCTGCTGTGGGAGGACCAGCGCCTGATCCCCACACAGCAGGTGCCCTCGCTGCTCCACTCTCCATTTCAGACATTTCCGACATCACATATTTATTGTAATTCTGCGTCCTACTTCCAGCTCATAGAAGCTCAGAAAATAGTTACTGATCGACAGGAATGAGAAATGGACATGGGAGAGGAGGCTATGAGCAGCGATAATTAGAAAACATGTGATGGAGATGTTAAGGAGAGTGAAGCGTTGAGGGGCTGCTGCGGCTGCTGCGGCGTCGTGTTGTTAGCTGTTCACAAACTAAATGAGGCAGAAGAGCACAGACGAAGGGATGCAAGATACATCGACGTTTAATGGGAATCACAATTTGCAAATCACAAACACAGTGTTTCTTAACAATTCTAGATGCAAACAACAAATCAGCATTTCTTTATTTTGTTTTTGTCTAAACTGCTTCTCGGACATAAGGATAGAACCAGAGCAAAGTCCATGACAGTAAATGTATTATAACAGAACTAACCCCCAGAGCTGTTTGTGTAAACCTGAATGGTTTGACTGTATTATTCCTATTTGTTCTGAATTAAAGTTGTGAAAAGTATTGAAAAAAAAGTAACAATAGAGCATAAAACTGGTACTGAACTCATTCTCATCTGAGCAGCGTTAAAATCATCTTGAGCTTCAATAAATCAGAGAACCTAGTTTACTCCTTGTTGTACCAAAAAAGGGTCTTCCTGATGGAGTCTGGTCTTCCTGATGGAGTCTGGTCTTCCTGATGGACTCTGGGTCTTCCTGATGTAGTCTGGGTCTTCCTGATGGACTCTGGGTTTTCCTGATGGACTCTGGTCTTCCTGATGGACTCTGGGTCTTCCTGATGGACTCTGGTCTTCCTGATGGACTCTGGGTCTTCCTGATGTTGTCTGGGTTTTCCTGATGGAGTCTGGTCTTCCTGATGGATTCTGGGTCTTCCTGATGGACTCTGGGTCTTCCTGATGTAGTCTGGGTTTTCCTGATGGAGTCTGGTCTTCCTGATGGACTCTGGGTCTTCCTGATGGACTCTGGGTCTTCCTGATGTAGTCTGGGTTTTCCTGATGGAGTCTGGTCTTCCTGATGGACTCTGGGTCTTCCTGATGGACTCTGGGTCTTCCTGATGGACTCTGGTCTTTGGGGGTCTTTGGTCAGCACGGTGCCTGAATGATTTCCACTCGCTCCTAAATGAAGTCCTGGGTTCAAATCCTGCGTGGCCTTTTTTGCATGTTCTCCCTGTGTCAGTCCAGGTTCCTTCCCACATGTTGTAATGTTGTCTAACTGGTTAAATGGATGTATTTGTGAGTTATGGCTGTGCACATCTGAGTCATCCACAGAGACTGTCATTAGTACCACAGAGGCCACTTTGGACTTAGAGCTGCAGCAGGGTTTGCTGTATCACTAACAACCTGAGCACTTGGTCCAGAAGAAAGCTCCTGAATAACCCTGATCCATGACTGTGTGAAGATAAAGGCCCACAACCGTTATAAAGTGCTTTGTGACTGAGAAAGGAGCTATGTACTGTCATGTTTGGAAGGATCAGAAGGATGATACACATTTGTACTTGTGTATTTTGGTGAGAGAATGTTTTGTTGTAGATATTGGTCACATAGACGTCCTAACAAACTGATAAACAAACAAATGGTCAAGTGTTGGGTGTTATTTTTCTGTTTTCCAATAAGAAGTGTCGAAGTCTGACGTGACCATTGGCTCCAAACCCATAAAAACAACTCATCGAACCTTCCCACACTGTGACTGCAACACTTCAGCTCTACTCTTCTCCTCGTTTGGCAGATTTTAAGTTATTAACCACCACAAGATATCACTAGATTCAAACTACAGGTTCACATAAGAAGCATTTATTACAGCGCTCCTCACGGCGTCTGGACCGGCTCAGACTGACCTCTGACTTGGCCGACTGCTTCCCTTGTGTGTCTTACGGTGAACGAATTCTGGCAAGAAAAACCTTTGCTTATTTATACCAGATCATGTGCAGTCTAAATAACTTAAGCATTTTTAAGAAGCAAACACTGTTAAGAAAACAATTGGTAGAATCCAGAGCTCATGATGCAAAGCTATTGTCCTAAACGCCCATATGACCAACTGGACTATAGTATTTATGGTTAGGGTTAGGAAACATTTTATTAAGATTTTTTATAATGCATTTTAAATATTTTTTTACCTTTACAACTTGTTTGCACTGAGCCAAAGACATTCCTAGTTTGTGACTTCCTGTTATCAACAATCACTGATTCTCGATCAAGGCAGTTTATCGCTGTGCAAACCCAGAGCTGCAGAAGTGACTCAGGGCCAGACTCAGCGGAGGTCGAGGTGGGGTCGTGGAGGTCGGAGGTCATGTGCTGGAATATTACCCACAGAACCAGAACATCGCCCCCTGGACATTTAGCAGCTGTTCCTTGGGCTAACCTTTACTTTTCATTGAACTTGTTTTCCTGCGCAGTCAGACAGAAACATATTGGAATAAACTGGGTATGAATATTTGAACATGTTTATTTCCAACAGTGATTTAAGCTTTTCCTCAATTTGAATGTACTGTATCGATTATAAGATATATTGACCCTTTTGACCCGGGGAGCGTTATTAGCGTAACACAGCTCCGTGCTGTGTATGTACCGTGTTTGCTGAGGGAGGGGCTGGAAGCTGAGGCAACCTTTTCAGTCTCGGCCCGATTAGTTGCTCCAGATCAGAGTCCCTCTTTTTCCTTAATCAGACCAACAAATAGATTTCCTCCTCAGTTTGTGATTTTGTTCTTGGCAACATTCTGAATCTCGAATTCCCGATGGTGTAACAGAGGGATTGTTCTCTGAGTGAGGATAGTGTCGTGGTAATGTGTGGTTTGTGAATCTGGCGTTGGAGAAGGATGATGTTTCCTTTCCATTCATTTTCACGTGATTGCATCAGAAGTTTCCTGAAGACAAAGGGCCACAGTGCTCTGTGTCTGTGGTTAAATGTGTCCAAGGCTCAGCATCTGTCTGCTCTGGGAGTGATGTCACTGATGCATAAACTCACAACACAAATGTATCTTTATGACAATCAGAGACTTGGTTGATTGTCAAATACATTCTCAACAATCCAACCGTCTGAACAGATATCTATTAGAAATGAGGAATTACATAAACTGTTCCACTCAGATGTTTCCAAAGTCATGCACAATAAAAGATTAGAATGTTTCTTTAACATTTCTATCAGCTCTGCTCGGTCTGTTGTTCTGTGTTTTCATAACTAGTATTAGGGCTAAACGATATATAGAAAGAATATCGTCAGTACCATATTAGTACGTGTGATATCCATATGAAAAAGATGGTAATTCTGATATATTTATGGAGACGTGTCTGGTACGGCTGAGACCGAGGTCCACCACACGCTACAGCGGAGCACAGAAACAAAACCAGTGAAAGATGCAGAGAATAATCCAGACAGATGTTTCCAAAAGACACTTTATCTCCGGAGTTTGGAGACTTCGGATTCACACGACTGGACCAATCACAGAAGTTACTTTTAAGTCATGCTGAAAAATAAGGGAATGAGAAAAACCGACAAAACTCTAAAGCAACATCCAGCTCTAACCACAGGATACTTATGCTGTGTATTTACATTAATCTAAGAGTCCACAGCCTTCTCCAGCTCTAACCACAGGATACTTATGCTGTGTATTTACATTTATCTAAGAGTCCACAGCCTTCTCCAGCTCTAACCACAGGATACTTATGCTGTGTATTTACATTTATCTAAGAGTCCACAGCCTTCTCCAGCTCTAACCACAGGATACTTATGCTGTGTATTTACATTTATCTAAGAGTCCACAGCCTTCTCCAGCTCTAACCACAGGATACTTATGCTGTGTATTTACATTAATCTAAGAGTCCACAGCCTTCTCCAGCTCTAACCACAGGATACTTATGCTGTGTATTTACATTTATCTAAGAGTCCACAGCCTTCTCCAGCTCTAACCACAGGATACTTATGCTGTGTATTTACATTTATCTAAGAGTCCACAGCCTTCTCCAGCTCTAACCACAGGATACTTATGCTGTGTATTTACATTAATCTAAGAGTCCACAGCCTTCTCCAGCTCTAACCACAGGATACTTATGCTGTGTATTTACATTAATCTAAGAGTCCACAGCCTTCTCTGGTCAAACAAAATGCAAATGTGTAAAGCTCTAACTGCAGCTGATTCGATTCTGTTCGTGTTGTTTGGAATCGGCAACTTTAGGAAAGATTTCAGGTTAGTGTGTTTGTGTTTGTGCTGCTTTTAATGTAACTACTTTTGTGCTTATTTTTTGTTAGAGATTTTTCTCGTGCGGCTCAAAGCAGATTTTATTTTTAGGTGAAAGACAAAATTATCTCTAATATCGTTATCGAAAATCACTCTTCCTTTGTTTTTGTTTTCATAAATACATGAGATTTAATGGACTTTAACCTGAGGATTTCCATGTTTTGTCTCGTGACCTTCTGAAGTCTGCGGCGTGTGCAGCGTCCGTGACGGCGTCTGTAGCGGCGTCTGTAGCGGCGTCTGCAGCGTCTGTAGCGGCGTCTGCAGCGTCTGTAGCGGCGTCTGCAGCGTCCGTGACGGCGTCTGCAGCGTCTGTAGCGGCGTCTGCAGCGTCTGTAGCGGCGTCTGCAGCGTCTGTGACGGCGTCTGCAGCGTCTGTGACGGCGTCTGCAGCGTCTGTGACGGCGTCTGCAGCGTTTGTAGCGGCGTCTGGAGCGTCTGTGACGTGTCTGGAGCGTCTGTGACGGCGTCTGGAGCGTCTGTAGCGGCGTCTGTAGCGGCATCTGCAGCGTCTGTGACGTGTCTGGAGCGTCTGTGACGGCGTCTGGAGCGTCTGTGACGTGTCTGGAGCGTCTGTGACGGCGTCTGGAGCGTCTGTGACGGCGTCTGGAGCGTCTGACGGCGTCTGGAGCGTCTGACGGCGTCTGGAGCGTCTGTGACGTGTCTGGAGCGTCTGTGACGCGTCTGTGACGGCGTCTGGAGCGTCTGTGACGGCGTCTGCAGCGTTTGTAGCGGCGTCTGGAGCGTCTGTGACGTGTCTGGAGCGTCTGTGACGGCGTCTGGAGCGTCTGTAGCGGCGTCTGTAGCGGCATCTGCAGCGTCTGTGACGTGTCTGGAGCGTCTGTGACGTGTCTGGAGCGTCTGTGACGGCGTCTGGAGCGTCTGTGACGTGTCTGGAGCGTCTGTGACGGCGTCTGGAGCGTCTGTGACGGCGTCTGGAGCGTCTGACGGCGTCTGGAGCGTCTGACGGCGTCTGGAGCGTCTGTGACGTGTCTGGAGCGTCTGTGACGCGTCTGTGACGGCGTCTGTGACGGCGTCTGGAGCGTCTGTGACGGCGTCTGGAGCGTCTGTGACGGCGTCTGGAGCGTCTGTGACGGCGTCTGGAGCGTCTGACGGCGTCTGGAGCGTCTGTGACGTGTCTGGAGCGTCTGTGACGCGTCTGTGACGGCGTCTGGAGCGTCTGTGACGGCGTCTGGAGCGTCTGTGACGTGTCTGGAGCGTCTGTGATGGCGTCTGGAGCGTCTGTGATGGCGTCTGGAGCGTCTGTGACGGCGTCTGGAGCGTCTTTGATGGCGTCTGTGACGGCGTCTGGAGCGTCTGTGACGGCGTCTGGAGCGTTTGACGGCGTCTGGAGCGTCTGTGATGGCGTCTGGAGCATCTGTGACGGCGTCTGGAGCGTCTGACGGCGTCTGGAGCGTCTGTGATGGCGTCTGGAGCATCTGTGACGGCGTCTGGAGCGTCTGACGGCGTCTGGAGCGTCTGTGACGGCGTCTGGAGCGTCTGTTACGTGTCTGGAGTAGGGATGTAAAAAACTATGAATTTTCATGACCGACCACCGAGCCTCATTAACCGGTTGAAACCGGTTAACCGCGTAGTTTAAAATAGTCCACGTTCTTTGAAATAGCAGCCATTTCGAGCCGCGTACTTTTCATAAGTGCAGCTCTGCGTTCTACTGGATCAGAGCCGAGACAGCGGCACCAAAACCCGCAACAGCTCCGGCACCTTTGCGCACAGAGAACTGCTTTTTTAATCTTCCCATTCTGCTGAGCTGCGGGTTAATACCAAAACTTTCTAGCAGCAAACACGGCTCGTTCACATGGTCAGAGCAGCGAGTGACGAGCCGCGTCTCACAGGTCTTCACAAAAGTTTAAATACAAGTGATGTGTGTGGGGCTGATCCCGAGGACCATAAACACAAACATGTTCCATGTGGTTTGACTGGAGCCGTGTATTTGCGCGAATCCTTTGGGCTCCGTGACACAGAGGAGCGCGACAGACCGGTATGTGTGTGTGTATGTATGTGTGTATGTGTATGTATGTGTGTATGTGTGTGTATATGTGTATGTGTGTGTGCGCGCGCGCGTGCGTGTGTGCATATGTGGCTCGTGCGGCGTGAGAGTCGTCCCGGAGTTTATAATACATGGGCGCATACAGCTAGATACAGACCCGCTCGTCACACCGTGCAAATAGGGCTTAAAATAGCGTTATTAAGAGACCTCCGCTCTCCCCTTTTTCTCTTTTTTAACCGACAGCTTTGACCGGTTAACGCTGTGACGGTCAACCACCGGTTAAACGGTCACCGATTTACATCCCTAGTCTGGAGCGTCTGTGACGTGTCTGGAGCGTCTGTGACGTGTCTGGAGCGTCTGTGACGGCGTCTGCAGCGTCTGTGACGGCGTCTGGAGCGTCTGTGACGTGTCTGGAGCGTCTGTGACGGCGTCTGTGATGGCGTCTGGAGCGTCTGTGATGGCGTCTGGAGCGTCTGTGACGGCGTCTGGAGCGTCTGTGACGGCGTCTGGAGCGTCTGTGACGGCGTCTGGAGCGTCTGTGATGGCGTCTGGAGCATCTGTGACGGCGTCGTGATGGCGTCTGCAGCGTCTGTGACGGCGTCTGGAGCGTCTGTGACGTGTCTGGAGCGTCTGTGACGTGTCTGGAGCGTCTGTGACGTGTCTGGAGCGTCTGTGACGGCGTCTGCAGCGTCTGTGACGGCGTCTGGAGCGTCTGTGACGTGTCTGGAGCGTCTGTGACGGCGTCTGTGATGGCGTCTGGAGCGTCTGTGATGGCGTCTGGAGCGTCTGTGACGGCGTCTGGAGCGTCTGTGACGGCGTCTGGAGCGTCTGTGACGGCGTCTGGAGCGTCTGTGATGGCGTCTGGAGCATCTGTGACGGCGCTCCCACCCCTCCCTCTGCTCAGAGACCGTGGAGAGGGTCAGTGTCTTCCACATTGTGCCGCTTGCTCTGCAGAGAAAGCACAGATACATGATATAAGACTATTTGGAGAAATTATTTTGCGCTGTCTCTGGGGAAGGAAAAAATCTATTGTGATAAATGCGGCGCCAGTGGAGGACCTGGCGTTTCCATCACGGTGATTCTGCAGCGGGTTCCAATCTATAGAACGCAATGAATACGCTTGGAATAGCTTCAGTCTTTTAAAGTTTCATGATTTTTTCTTTCTTTCGACTGGCACAATATTTTTGTAAAGAATATCAACGCCCACTTTTATTGACTCAGCCCGAGGACAACATCCTGAGACATTTGCAGAATGACAAATCCTTCAAGCACTCGGCACTTCAGACAAGGATTTAGGAAATTAATTTTTAAACCCACTCTCTATGGAATAACAAGAACATTATGCAGCTCTGAGAAAAGAACAAATGGTAAATTGTTGTTGTTTTTTAAAACATTTATTACGTTTGTATCGAGCGTTGAAAAGAAAAGTAACGCGTTAACATCAGGCTGGGCTTTTTCATTGAAGTCGCCAAAGACCGACTTTGCCTTAAAAATATATATTTTAAAATCTTTTTCAAGTTTCAAAACTATTTTTAGTTTGTTTCCCCCAATACGTGATATAAAAGTCCTGTACAGACTGTGCTGATTTAAGTATAATTCATGTGCTGCTGGAACTCTCAGAATATCCTTCATTCCATTTAATCATTTTCACATTTTTCACAAATTCAATTTTCGATTTATTGCTCAGCCTTACGTTAACAACAGTTTAGAAACATGAAGCTGTTTCTTTTTCGATCCTCAACGTTTAGTGACAAACAACACGAGGCTCGTGTGTCGCTCTCTAGAAACAAACTTTAATTCACGTTTATCAAAACCACCACAGTCTCAGACTTCACAGACACGGCTCCACTTTGTGTCGCTTTGGTTCAGAGTTTAAGGGGCTCACACCGGACCTTTAGGGGACAGGAGAGACTGTAGTCATGAAAAAAGAAACACTAAAGTCACACTAAAAGTTACTTTCAGTAGAGAGTAACTAAGTATTGTTACATATTGATTATTTTACATATGTATGATTTTGTGTTTGTCAGAACATACTGTATGTGGTTATTGTGCTAAATGAATATTTACATTGACATTATTGAATTATGCTTCATATTAGTCGGGGAAGTGTGAGTTTATTTGTCGTTAAATTGTCCTTTCAGGGTTAATTATAGTTATTCATAGACATTAGTGTCTTATGTGTCTCCTGTGCAGATACACGTGTAAATGTGTTGATCGAAGCTCATGGATCCAGAGTTTGTCCAAGTGAAGGGGATCATATGAGTCCTTATCAATAGCACCAGAGGTCTGTGGTGGCGCTGGTACCAGACACCATCGTTCTCTCTGATGGTATTGATGCTGCGGTCGCCGTCCTCTGCTCTTCTTCACCCTCCAATCAGCTCGTCCGCTCCGCTGGGGTTTGGTCTTGTATGTTAGAAGACAATACACTACAGTAATATGTGTGTGTGCTTGAAACCTGACTGTAAGCAGCGTGTTATAGAATTATTGCTGTGTAAGTGTGGGTCAAATGCAACGGAGATTGTGGCTGCAGCAAAACATCTGAGCTGTAAATCCATATAAGGCTTATATCCTGATTAAATGTAAATGTGCACTTTTACAAAACTTTACTTTTCCACGTGGGAAACTTTGTCCTCTGCATTTGACCCGCAAGGCCTCTGTCTGTCAGGAGTGGTCTCTGTCGCGCAGCGCCCGGGGACCCACGGCCAGATGTTGATACTTTGCTTTGTTGGGACCAGACCCGGAAGATTTACCTGCTCTGAATGTTTTTAGTGGTATAGGGAAGCCAGAGCACCCGGAGGAAACCTACACAGACACAGGGAGAACACGCAAACTCCACTCAAAGAACCTGTTCTGATTGGGATTCAAACCCAAGACTTTCTGTCTGAGAAGTGAGCGTGCTCAACACTCAGCCACCTAACTAAGAAACAAATGAAATATAAATACCAGGATCACAAACCAGTATTAAAAACACAGATTCTGCAGCTCAGACAATTTCTGAACTAGAATAGTTTACTAATAAGAGCCAGAGTGAGGAGAACCATGGGTACTCACCGACTGTTGTTCATGGAGCTAGCGGGTTAGCATTGTACATCTATGTACAGTCCATGCACTGATCCCACAAACCTCTGCTAACTTCTTACACATGTGTTGACTTTTGGTAACGACTGAACTCCATCTCTGTGAAAGTGAAGCCTTCTGTATTTTACATTCTGAGCTAATGTCATCTGTAAACGTGACACATCAAATACAGACCGACATCCTCAAACTCCTACTGATTCTACAGAGAGCCCAATATCAGTGAAATAACCAAAGCCAGTCTCACATCAGTCGTTTCCCGTAGTTAGGACATAAAGAATAACTCTCACATATTCTAAGAGCAGTTTGACTTTGATTTCTGATGTTCTAATCCCAGCTGGGAGGGGCTGAGGTCACATCCCCACATCTGTCTCCAGTGCTCTATTTTAGGATCTCACTTTGGCCTTTCATGTTACAGACGACTTGTGGATTTCCGGGGAGAAAATACCGGTCTCTCCGTACATTAGATTCTGCTGTAACTGCGGCCTGTGATAATGGATTTTGATTTGAGTGGGGCGAGAAGAGTTCAGGTCTGTGGTCTGTGTGCAAATTGGCAAAAAGGATTTAAAATGTTCTTCACTATCACTTCCAGGCAGGTGTGTACGAGAGTAAGGCCGAAGAGAGGAGGGAGAGGAGAGCCTGATGCCCTTGATTTTAGCTTGATTATTATGTTTCTATAGAAGATTAATTAAAAGCAGAATAGACAAAAAGAAGAGTGTGGCTATTCAAGAGAAAATGAAAAGGTTTAGTGATTTCTCATCATAAAAACATGACTAATTCTGAATAACTGTGAAGGTTAAGGATGTAAAGAAAAGTTATGATTGAATAATTAAAGTGAATATTGTCGACCTTTGAGTCGATGTTTGTCTAAGTCTTACAAAAAGCTTCTCCAAAGAACTAATGTCAGTGTGTTCTGAATGAATGTCCTTAAAACAAAGATTGTAAATCTGTGCTAGATTCTGTCCCATCACAGCTTGGTTTGGTATGGAATGGTTTCATGTAATGGACAGTGTACGATAACTTACTTTACCCCTGCAGTCCCTGAGCTCGTTGTGACGAGATGGTTCTAAAACATGGCCCTAGAAGAAGATTGTCGCCAAATCTCTGTTCATTTAACTCTATGGGTTTTCTTCCCCTTAATCCATTTCTGGGTCCGGGGTGGCAGTCAGAGCTGCACCCAGTACACATAGCACCAGCCCCTCACTGCTTCTCCTGTGATTTATTCTTGTATAGCCCTAGGTCACAACAGAAGTCATCTCAGACTTAACAAAACCATTGAAATCACCAACACAGGTCAGAGAATCAACAGTTAAAACACATGAAGAATATAAAGCACACACAGAAGAAAATGTCCATACATGTTGTAGAATGCTAAAGTGTCCTGATCATCACCAATCCTTTCTGTTGGACACTAACTGTCCAACAAGACCCTCCTGCATCCACAAGGAACAACTCTTAAAAAACCCAGTGGGAAAAAGTGAGAAACCTTGGGGAGCACTAGGGAAACCCACAGGGAGGGAGACCCATATGAGAAAGGGATCCGCTCCTCCGGACGGACAGGCTAATGATCCAGGACCTAAGCTAGCTACAGGACGTGGACCAGTGGACGCTGAACGTGGACAAGTCCGGTGCAGGACTGAAGCACTCCCAGGCGGGGAGTGACTGTATAGCTTGATCCGTCAGTGGGGGCTTCAGGCAAAGTGGGGTTGAGTCAAGATTCAAGATTTGTTTGTTTTTGTCTCCTTTAGGAGAGATTTGGTTTGGACTGATGGGTCCGCTACATTTCAGTACAAAAAAACATACAAACAAAGACACCAACACACACTTCATCTCCTCATGTCCTTATTTAACAGATTCACTGAAACAGGATGAATGAGTTCTTAAAGCGACTTAGTCGGCACCGAGGCACTCTGTACCTCCTCCCAGAGTTCAAAAGCTCATATTCGGGGAAAAGTACATGTGTGGGATCAGAGAGGACGCTCCTGGTCTGTCTCCTCCTGGTCTGTCTCCTCCTGGTCTGTCTCCTCCTGGTCTGTCTCCTCCTGGTCTGTCTCCTCCTGGTCTGTCTCCTCCTGGTCTGTCTCCTCCTGGTCTGTCTCCTCCTGGTCTGTCTCCTCATGGCCTGTCTCCTCCTGGTCTGTCTCCTCCTGGTCTGTCTCCTCCTGGTCTGTCTCCTCCTGGTCTGTCTCCTCCTGGTCTGTCTCCTCCTGGTCTGTCTCCTCCTGGTCTGTCTCCTCATGGCCTGTCTCCTCCTGGTCTGTCTCCTCCTGGCCTGTCTCCTCCTGGTCTGTCTCCTCCTGGTCTGTCTCCTCCTGGTCTGTCTCCTCCTGGTCTGTCTCCTCATGGCCTGTCTCCTCCTGGTCTGTCTCCTCCTGGTCTGTCTCCTCCTGGCCTGTCTCCTCCTGGTCTGTCTCCTCCTGGTCTGTCTCCTCCTGGTCTGTCTCCTCCTGGTCTGTCTCCTCCTGGTCTGTCTCCTCCTGGCCTGTCTCCTCCTGGTCTGTCTCCTCCTGGTCTGTCTCCTCCTGGTCTGTCTCCTCATGGCCTGTCTCCTCCTGGTCTGTCTCCTCCTGGCCTGTCTCCTCCTGGTCTGTCTCCTCCTGGTCTGTCTCCTCCTGGTCTGTCTCCTCCTGGTCTGTCTCCTCCTGGTCTGTCTCCTCCTGGTCTGTCTCCTCATGGCCTGTCTCCTCCTGGTCTGTCTCCTCCTGGTCTGTCTCCTCCTGGTCTGTCTCCTCATGGTCTGTCTCCTCCTGGTCTGTCTCCTCCTGGTCTGTCTCCTCCTGGTCTGTCTCCTCCTGGTCTGTCTCCTCCTGGTCTGTCTCCTCCTGGTCTGTCTCCTCATGGCCTGTCTCCTCCTGGTCTGTCTCCTCCTGGTCTGTCTCCTCATGGCCTGTCTCCTCCTGGTCTGTCTCCTCCTGGCCTGTCTCCTCCTGGTCTGTCTCCTCCTGGTCTGTCTCCTCCTGGTCTGTCTCCTCCTGGTCTGTCTCCTCCTGGTCTGTCTCCTCCTGGTCTGTCTCCTCATGGCCTGTCTCCTCCTGGTCTGTCTCCTCCTGGTCTGTCTCCTCCTGGTCTGTCTCCTCATGGTCTGTCTCCTCCTGGTCTGTCTCCTCCTGGTCTGTCTCCTCCTGGTCTGTCTCCTCCTGGTCTGTCTCCTCCTGGTCTGTCTCCTCCTGGTCTGTCTCCTCATGGCCTGTCTCCTCCTGGTCTGTCTCCTCATGGTCTGTCTCCTCCTGGTCTGTCTCCTCCTGGTCTGTCTCCTCCTGGTCTGTCTCCTCCTGGTCTGTCTCCTCATGGCCTGTCTCCTCCTGGTCTGTCTCCTCCTGGCCTGTCTCCTCCTGGTCTGTCTCCTCCTGGTCTGTCTCCTCCTGGTCTGTCTCCTCCTGGTCTGTCTCCTCATGGCCTGTCTCCTCCTGGTCTGTCTCCTCCTGGCCTGTCTCCTCCTGGTCTGTCTCCTCCTGGTCTGTCTCCTCCTGGTCTGTCTCCTCCTGGTCTGTCTCCTCCTGGTCTGTCTCCTCCTGGTCTGTCTCCTCCTGGTCTGTCTCCTCATGGCCTGTCTCCTCCTGGTCTGTCTCCTCCTGGCCTGTCTCCTCCTGGTCTGTCTCCTCCTGGTCTGTCTCCTCCTGGTCTGTCTCCTCCTGGTCTGTCTCCTCCTGGTCTGTCTCCTCATGGCCTGTCTCCTCCTGGTCTGTCTCCTCCTGGTCTGTCTCCTCATGGCCTGTCTCCTCCTGGTCTGTCTCCTCCTGGTCTGTCTCCTCCTGGTCTGTCTCCTCATGGCCTGTCTCCTCCTGGTCTGTCTCCTCCTGGTCTGTCTCCTCCTGGTCTGTCTCCTCCTGGTCTGTCTCCTCCTGGTCTGTCTCCTCCTGGTCTGTCTCCTCCTGGTCTGTCTCCTCATGGCCTGTCTCCTCCTGGTCTGTCTCCTCCTGGTCTGTCTCCTCATGGCCTGTCTCCTCCTGGTCTGTCTCCTCCTGGCCTGTCTCCTCCTGGTCTGTCTCCTCCTGGTCTGTCTCCTCCTGGTCTGTCTCCTCATGGCCTGTCTCCTCCTGGTCTGTCTCCTCCTGGTCTGTCTCCTCCTGGTCTGTCTCCTCCTGGTCTGTCTCCTCCTGGCCTGTCTCCTCCTGGTCTGTCTCCTCCTGGTCTGTCTCCTCCTGGTCTGTCTCCTCCTGGTCTGTCTCCTCCTGGTCTGTCTCCTCCTGGTCTGTCTCCTCATGGCCTGTCTCCTCCTGGTCTGTCTCCTCCTGGCCTGTCTCCTCCTGGTCTGTCTCCTCCTGGTCTGTCTCCTCCTGGTCTGTCTCCTCCTGGTCTGTCTCCTCCTGGTCTGTCTCCTCCTGGTCTGTCTCCTCATGGCCTGTCTCCTCCTGGTCTGTCTCCTCCTGGTCTGTCTCCTCCTGGTCTGTCTCCTCATGGTCTGTCTCCTCCTGGTCTGTCTCCTCCTGGTCTGTCTCCTCCTGGTCTGTCTCCTCCTGGTCTGTCTCCTCCTGGTCTGTCTCCTCCTGGTCTGTCTCCTCATGGCCTGTCTCCTCCTGGTCTGTCTCCTCATGGTCTGTCTCCTCCTGGTCTGTCTCCTCCTGGTCTGTCTCCTCCTGGTCTGTCTCCTCCTGGTCTGTCTCCTCCTGGTCTGTCTCCTCATGGCCTGTCTCCTCCTGGTCTGTCTCCTCCTGGCCTGTCTCCTCCTGGTCTGTCTCCTCCTGGTCTGTCTCCTCCTGGTCTGTCTCCTCCTGGTCTGTCTCCTCATGGCCTGTCTCCTCCTGGTCTGTCTCCTCCTGGCCTGTCTCCTCCTGGTCTGTCTCCTCCTGGTCTGTCTCCTCCTGGTCTGTCTCCTCCTGGTCTGTCTCCTCCTGGTCTGTCTCCTCCTGGTCTGTCTCCTCATGGCCTGTCTCCTCCTGGTCTGTCTCCTCCTGGCCTGTCTCCTCCTGGTCTGTCTCCTCCTGGTCTGTCTCCTCCTGGTCTGTCTCCTCCTGGTCTGTCTCCTCCTGGTCTGTCTCCTCCTGGTCTGTCTCCTCATGGCCTGTCTCCTCCTGGTCTGTCTCCTCCTGGTCTGTCTCCTCATGGCCTGTCTCCTCCTGGTCTGTCTCCTCCTGGTCTGTCTCCTCCTGGTCTGTCTCCTCCTGGTCTGTCTCCTCCTGGTCTGTCTCCTCCTGGTCTGTCTCCTCCTGGTCTGTCTCCTCCTGGTCTCTGTCTGTCTCCTCATGGCCTGTCTCCTCCTGGTCTGTCTCCTCCTGGTCTGTCTCCTCATGGCCTGTCTCCTCCTGGTCTGTCTCCTCCTGGCCTGTCTCCTCCTGGTCTGTCTCCTCCTGGTCTGTCTCCTCCTGGTCTGTCTCCTCCTGGTCTGTCTCCTCATGGCCTGTCTCCTCCTGGTCTGTCTCCTCCTGGTCTGTCTCCTCCTGGTCTGTCTCCTCCTGGTCTGTCTCCTCCTGGCCTGTCTCCTCCTGGTCTGTCTCCTCCTGGTCTGTCTCCTCCTGGTCTGTCTCCTCCTGGTCTGTCTCCTCCTGGTCTGTCTCCTCCTGGTCTGTCTCCTCATGGCCTGTCTCCTCCTGGTCTGTCTCCTCCTGGTCCTGTCTCCTCCTGGTCTGTCTCCTCCTGGTCTGTCTCCTCCTGGTCTGTCTCCTCCTGGTCTGTCTCCTCCTGGTCTGTCTCCTCCTGGCCTGTCTCCTCCTGGTCTGTCTCCTCCTGGCCTGTCTCCTCCTGGTCTGTCTCCTCCTGGTCTGTCTCCTCCTGGTCTGTCTCCTCCTGGTCTGTCTCCTCCTGGTCTGTCTCCTCCTGGTCTGTCTCCTCCTGGTCTGTCTCCTCCTGGCCTGTCTCCTCCTGGCCTGTCTCCTCCTGGTCTGTCTCCTCCTGGCCTGTCTCCTCCTGGTCTGTCTCCTCCTGGTCTGTCTCCTCCTGGTCTGTCTCCTCCTGGTCTGTCCCTCCTCCTGGTCTGTCTCCTCCTGGTCTGTCTCCTCCTGGTCTGTCTCCTCTGGTCTGTCTCCTCCTGGTCTGTCTCCTCCTGGTCTGTCTCCTCCTGGTCTGTCTCCTCCTCCTGGTCTGTCTCCTCCTGGTCTGTCTCCTCCTGGTCTGTCTCCTCCTCCTGGTCTGTCTCCTCCTGGTCTGTCTCCTCCTGGTCTGTCTCCTCCTGGTCTGTCTCCTCCTGGTCTGTCTCCTCCTGGTCTGTCTCTCTGGTCTGTCTCCTCCTGGTCTGTCTCCTCCTGGTCTGTCTCCTCCTGGTCTGTCTCCTCCTGGTCTGTCTCCTCCTGGTCTGTCTCCTCCTGGTCTGTCTCCTCCTGGTCTGTCTCCTCCTGGTCTGTCTCCTCCTGGCTGTCTGGTCTGTCTCCTCCTGGTCTGTCTCCTCATGGCCTGTCTCCTCCTGGTCTGTCTCCTCCTGGCCTGTCTCCTCCTGGTCTGTCTCCTCCTGGTCTGTCTCCTCCTGGTCTGTCTCCTCATGGCCTGTCTCCTCCTGGTCTGTCTCCTCCTGGTCTGTCTCCTCCTGGTCTGTCTCCTCCTGGTCTGTCTCCTCCTGGTCTGTCTCCTCCTGGTCTGTCTCCTCCTGGTCTGTCTCCTCCTGGTCCGTCTCCTCCTGGTCCGTCTCCTCCTGGTCTGCTCATAGAGCTCCTGGGGGCCAAGAGGGACAGGCGTGCCCATGATTTTTCCAGCGGTTTTAAACAAGTTGCTTATTTGTGTTTTGGATTTAACAAGAAGATTCCCAAACCAGCTGGTAATCCAGTGTCTTGCCCGAGGCTGTTGTCGGCGGGTAAACATTACTATCACAGCTGAAGTTGGGACATTTTAATAATTGTAGCTCTAAGTCTAAGGAGGTGGAATCCAGTATTTCAACCAAGGATTCCAACTGGAGTGGTCTCTGCAGAGCGGCTGGACGCTGCTTTAGGGAGTGGAGCGTCCACTGTGACCCGGCAATGGATAAAGCAGAAGAAACTAGTTGTATGAATGAGTGAATGCAGAGAGGAAACTATAATGAAAAAGACCTCTGCTGAGTCACTGGCCTCGCAGTGACTCAGCACTTTACACATTCTCTCTGTTTGGCCCCAGTTCTAGAGACTGAACTGTCAACATGAAAACTAATGTGAAATACAGCTGTGGTCTTTTATCGCTTTCACTCATTTCCACCGAGTCGTGATGTTTTCTATTGAATATTGTTTGTTTTGGTTTTTACATCTATACAGTTTATTTATTTCACTGAAAAAAAACAAATCCTATTATTATTATTATTATTATTATTCTTCTTTATTAAGGACACAATACAATACGGTCCATAGTTAAAGCTGCACTACCTGACTTTATGTTTGTATTCATGAGTTAAATCCAACCCATGTCCTGCAGTGCTTTGGGATAAACGTCCTTTTGAAGAATAAGTAGCGCAGATTTGTGCTGGCGTGACATTTTATTTTAGATGGAGTTTTAGTGCGACAAGGAAGAGAATGTGTTTCGGGTCCAGATTGTGACCAATCACAGCGGACCACTGGCCCCCACAGGTCTGTGCTAACCACAGACAGGTCTGTGGTTAGCACAGACAGCTGAGGTAAACAAGCGGCGGAGGCTAACCTGAAACTTCTGTGTCTTCGTTACCGGTTTCTGCTTACTCAGAGAAACAGACAAAAGAAAGTCTGGTTCCTCCGCACTTCCTGCTTCTATCATTCTATGGTCACGCCACATTCACATGTGATCCATGTGAGACGTGAGCTCCGTAAACAGTGGGTGTGGGGTAGTGGGGGGCAACAGCTTCATGGGAGCGGCGAGGGGAGGAGAGAGGCGAGGCCAGCGCTTACTTTTGAAACCACTGCTTCAAAATCACAAAGTCAGTGCAGCTTTGATCAAACATTCATGAGCTAACAATGCTGTCGGCCTTTTTAACCTTAGAATAAAAACAATCATAAAAACATCATGTAACCTCTTTAATCTGAGCAGATGTCATACGTGTTGTGTGTTTTTATGTGTTGTGTGTGATTCTAGAATGTCTCTCCAGCTGCTGTCATGTTTTTGCACATATCTGATGATCTGGTAAAACACGGTCTGAATGTTACAGAGATTTATGTTCGATATCGCCCACATCCACTCAAAGATTAAATCCCAGGGTCAAAAAGGTCAATTTTGTTCTTTTCGCCTGACATTGTGAAATAATGAAGTATTCCATCTGGAGAACAGCCTCCTGGTCGTGCGGATGCTTTTGCCTCAGGTCAGAGCGGACATTTAGGGAAATATTGGATTCCACCCACTTTAGACTCAGAGCTACAATTATGAAGATGTCCCGACTTCAGCTGTGATAGTAATGTTTACCTGCCGACAACAGCCTCCAGCCTCACAAACACAACTCAGGATTTCACTGAAGATAAGTGTGTATTAAGCTTCGGTTGTGCGTTCTTGTGTGGATATATTTGACTTTCAGCCTCCCGAAGTTACACTAAGAGATTGTGACTTGGCTTGGGGCAATTTGTGGTTCTATCCCAGAGGCAAAAGAGCGGCTTCCACCAACACCTCATCCATTCATCCATCAGTCTTCATCCATAAGTCTTGCTCCATAAGTCTTCATCCATAGGTGTGTGAGCGACAGGCGGCGGCGTGAGGCAGTGAACAGGTGTCGCTCGAGCATGTGGAGAGGCCGCCGTCTCCCGGGACAAGCTGCATGAGTGATGGGTCTGCTGTCAATCACAGACTTTGGCCAACATGAAATATAGAGGTTTAGTTTGGAATTCCAAATAAGGGCGTGCAATGTCGGGAACACGTGTGGGCTGCTGTTCATTCATCTTTTTCAAAGGGAGATTGCTGTTCTGAGCTTTGATTTACATGCACTCTCCATGTCTACATATACACACTTATACATACACGCACATACACACACATACACGCACATACACATACATACACGCACATACTAGGGCTGGGCGATATAAACGGTATAAGCGGTATGCGATATAAATGTGGCCCACGGTAGAGATGTTTGTTATACCGGCATATTGCAATAGGTCATTACAGTGCCTTGCGAAAGTATTCGGCCCCCTTGAACCTTTCAACATTTCGCCACATTTCAGGCTTCAAACATAAAGATATAAAAATGAATGAATCAACAACAAGTGGGACACAATCGTGAAGTGGAACGAAATTTATTGGATAATTTAAACTTTTTTTAACAAATAAAAAACTGAAAAGTGGGGCATGCAATATTATTGGGCCCCTTTACTTTCAGTGCAGCAAACTCAGTCCAGAAGTTCAGTGAGGATCTTTGAATGATCCAATGTTGTCCTAAATGACTGATGATGATAAATAGAATGCTCCTGTGTGTAATCAAGTCTCTGTATAAATGCACCTGCTCTTTGATAGTCTCAGGGTTCTGTTTAAAGCACAGAGAGAACCATGAAGACAAAGGAACACACCAGGCAGGTCCGAGATACTGTTGTGGAGAAGTTTAAAGCCGGATTTGGATACAAAAAGATTTCCCAAGCTTTAAACATCTCAAGGAGCACTGCGCAAGCAATTATATTGAAATGGAAGGAGTATCAGACCACTGCAAATCTACCAAGACCCGGCCGTCCCTCCAAACTTTCATCTCAAACAAGGAGAAGAAACTGATCAGAGATGCAGCCAAGAGGCCCATGATCAGTGTTGGGTAAGTTACTTTGAAAAAGTAATTAGTTACAGTTACTAGTTACTGCTCCCAAAAAGTAATTAAGTTACTAACTTAGTTACTGCACTATAAAAGTAACTAGTTACCAGTAAAAGTAACTATTGCGTTTCTTTTTCGTTTGTCGTGGTACCGAGTTTTAGCTGGTTGTAATTTAGGATAACTTCTAAGTAGATTAATTGTTTCAACAACGCCACCCTATTTTTAGTATTAGTGTTATATGTTAGTTCAGGGAACTGTCACGCAGGCACACGGGTAATAATAAGACAGGCCAAGGTGTCATTTAAATTATATAGCATTTATTTTTATCCATTGATCAAAGAAAACACATTACAAAACTTGCAATTGAAAGAGACTATTTTAAAATAATTAGTTCCCACAGACACACACGAGCAGCCGTCACGCCTGACAGAAAAAAATCAGGGAAAATACAGTGCGCAGAGCCCGGAGCATGTGAACGGGGCAATCGTTTGCTGCCCGCGCAAAGCTTGCACTCCACGACAACGTTTTTATCTTTTTGACTGATGTAGTTGAAATAGTGTGCATATCTCCACCGGTAAAAAGAACTCTTCTCCTCTGACTCTGCCATGTTGCTTTACAAACAATCTCGCTCATGTGCGCAGCGTGACGTAAGCACGCAGGCACGCATGGAGCGGTAGTGCAGTTCTCCCCTGCTTTCCCGAGGCCGGTGCCGCCGGTAACGAAGTATTTAGGTAGTAACTGTAATATAATGAAACGTATTTTCATAATAACGCGTTACACTACTACGTTACTCAAATTGTAATTTCGTTACAGTAACGCGTTACTTAGTAACGCGTTACACCCAACACTGCCCATGATCACTCTGGATGAACTGCAGATAACTACAGCTGAGGTGGGAGAGTCTGTCCATAGGACAACAATCAGTCGTGCACTGCACAAATCTGGCCTTTATGGAAGAGTGGCAAGAAGAAAGCCATTTCTCAAAGATATCCATAAAAAGTCTTGTTTAAAGTTTGCCACAAGCCACCTGGGAGACACACCAAACATGTGAAAGAAGGTGCTCTGGTCAGATGAAACCAAAATCAAACTTTTTGGCCACAATGCAAAACGATATGTTTGGCGTAAAAGCAACACAGCTCATCACCCTGAACACACCATCCCCACTGTCAAACATGGTGGTGGCAGCATCATGCTTTGGGCCTGCTTTTCTTCAGCAGGGACAGGGAAGATGGATAAAATTGATGGGAAGATGGATGGAGCCAAATACAGGACCATTCTGGAAGAAAACCTGTTGGAGTCTGCAAAAGACCTGAGACTGGGACGGAGATTTATCTTCCAACAGGACAATGATCCAAAACATAAAGCCAAATCTACAATGGAATGGTTCACAAATAGACGTATCCAGGTGTTAGAATGGCCAAGTCAAAGTCCAGACCTGAATCCAATCCAGAATCTGTGGAAAGAGCTGAAGACTGCTGTTCACAAACGCTCTCCATCCAACCTCACTGAGCTCCAGCTGTTTTGCAAGGAAGAATGGGCAAGAATTCCAGTCTCTTGAGGTGCAAAACTGATAGAGACATACCCCAAGCGACTTGCAGCTGTAATTGCAGCAAAAGGTGGCGCTACAAAGTATTAGCGCAAGGGGCCGAATAATATTGCACGCCCCACTTTTCAGTGTTTTATTTGTTAAAAAAGTTTAAATTATCCAATAAATTTTGTTCCACTT